TATCTCAGCCGTGTTGGCCTGAAAATGTAAACATGCTAATTAAATCCAAAATCGTATAATTATTTTTAATAGAAACCTTATCTTAATTTGTTCTTGCACTGCATCATATCGTGTATTTCATCTGTATATGTGTAATGTGTATATGTATCAATGACTACACTTATACCGCATATTCTGCAACAGACTATAATTAATCACCTTATTATTGTCTCTCCATTTACCATGGCTGACTGCACTAATACCCTTTTAACAGTGGACACCGATATCAGTATACATGTAGGCTTTTTGTTCAAAAAGGAATATGCAGGAAATTATATGTAACAATTAACTGTGTACTAATTACATGTTTGAATGTTATCAGTTTTACGTTCTGAGATACAGTGATGTAAGCATCTTCTAAAATCTTCTAAAAATAAAATAAAATACAGAACTCTCTGCCGGAATTTTTTGTGGAAATCATTCGAACAAGTAAAAATGATTGCGTGACAAGACAAATCAACTATGTATACCCGATAAAAGAAACTGCCGTATTTTAGGAACAGTGCTATAACAAGACATTTGAAATTTCTAACAAGCAGATACATTAGATACAGTGACTAGACTACAGGTACGTAATCCGTATCAATCAAAGGTGTAAAACAACTGAAAATCATATCTGTCGGAGACCTACCAAATTACCAAGTTTTATCATTACTATATTTATTACAATGCAAATACTTTAGTGATACATTTTTTAGAAGAGAGGGCATACACACAAGTATATTGCTTCCGTGTGTGAATGCAGGTTGTACTTGGTATCTCAGTTCTCAGTTTCATACCGGTTGTATAACTGAATTTGTATATGGAACCATGCGTACAGCATGACAATTACTTGCTATTCGTCAGTTTACAACACACATAACACGGTCAAACAATTTTAGGCACCGCTTTTGCGAGTTATTTAGTACTATAATGTTTTATTAAAATCTATTTCAATTTGTTTTCACCATTTTCCCTATTGACAGTCGTTGTTACGTGCGTCACTAGGTAATTAGTACGGATTGACCTTGTTTATTGTTTCTATACTTTGAGGATTTCTGTGGCAAGTGGCGGACGTAATTCAAACTCCTTCCGCACTGACACCGCCTCAAATATATTTGTGTACTGATTACATAACTCTAATGGACAGGGTGGAGTGGTAGTTCACCGGACGACACTGTGTATATTGGGCGGCTCCTTTGATATCTCCTCCAAACATACGTTTATTGAATGACCCCATTAAACGATGATACACATCTCGATGAATATATCAAGGCACTAATTCATCTTTCATAAACATTTTTTTGTCTTTGTGCTTAATATATCCACATATCAACGAACATTTGTAAAACATGTATCCTAAAAAAAATAAACATTTTCAGGCTAGGTATTTGCCCACAGCAACACCTGCATAACTGTTTATTCACGCATGGTGTGGTAGATCGTAATTGACCGACAGCAGGAATTGTAGAATCACCTGTAAATAAGGCCAACACTGTAATTATATACAACGTACTAATGAGAATTATCATAAGAAGGCTGTTGTTTTTTCTGAACTGTTACCATTTTCATTCCAAAAGTGACAATGCAGTTAAAAGTTGCTTTAGTGTCACAATATTCACTCACGTTTTCCTCAATCGCATTGAAACATAATTCCCACTGGTCAGTTCGAAACCGCATGTAATTAAATAATTATTTCGAGATTTCGTTAGAATGTAAGATATTCAGCCAAACGTTATGCAATAAAAGACAAATAGTTTCTTTCATTAAAATACGCGCACGCGTACCTGTATATTGCATACCTAGTGTCACGTAATTGCCCAGTGTGATGTATCAACGGGACATAAAATGGGAAATGAAATAGAAACTAACTAAAATTTAATGTTGTGGAAAATAACTCAAATGAATTGGAGTACACGCACATGAATTCGTATGATAAACTGTCAAAACGTTTTGAGAGGTAAGGCCGGGTTCATTAAAGATCGCTACAATATGTAAAACAGGTGAAATTTGTAGAACTAAAGGAAACATCCAACCAAATGCCCTTTTTAAATAGTAATGTAATGATATAATATAAAGTATATTTCACATGATACAATATACTTTGCAAACAGTTAGTTGATGCTTGAAAGGGACTGACGAAAACATGGGCGAAATATTTTAAAAACGCCGTAAAATAGTTGAATTAAGTAAAAATTAGTTAAATTTTGTGTCATGATACTTGAATGAATACATTAAATGTATTTGCGAAATAAAAACATGAGTTTTAAGTAAAGGAACATATTCTCGCCCATGGGCCAAACCTTTTTCTCGCCCATGGGCGAAATATTTCAATATCGCTATAAAATCCTTGAATTAAGTTAAAATGAGTTTAATTTGTGTCATGATACTTGAATGAATACATTAAATGTATTTGCGAAACAAAAACATGAGTTTTAAGTAAAGGAACATATTCTCGCCCATTGGCCAAACCTTTTTCTCGCCCATGGGCGAAATATTTCAATATCGCTATAAAATAGTTGAATTAAGTTAAAATGAGTTAAATTTTGTGTCATGATGCTTCAATAAATACATTTAATGTATTTGCGAAACAAAATCATGAGTTTTAAGTAAAGGAACATATTCTCGCCCATGGGCCAAACCTTTTTCTCGCCCATGGGCGAAATATTTCAATATCGCTATAAAATAGTTGAATTAAGTTAAAATGAGTTAAATTTTGTGTCATGATGCTTCAATAAATACATTTAATGTATTTGCGAAACAAAATCATGAGTTTTAAGTAAAGGAACATATTCTCGCCGATGGGCCAAACCTTTTTCTCGCCCATGGGCGAAATATTTCAATATCGCTATAAAATCGTTGAATTAAGTTAAAATGAGTTAAATTTTGTGTCATGATGCTTCAATAAATACATTTAATGTATTTGCGAAACAAAATCATGAGTTTTAAGTAAAGGAACATATTCTCGCCCATGGGCCAAACCTTTTTCTCGCCCATGGGCGAAATATTTCAATATCGCTATAAAATAGTTGAATTAAGTTAAAATGAGTTAAATTTTGTGTCATGATGCTTCAATAAATACATTTAATGTATTTGCGAAACAAAATCATGAGTTTTAAGTAAAGGAACATATTCTCGCCCATGGGCCAAACCTTTTTCTCGCCCATGGGCGAAATATTTCAATATCGCTATAAAATAGTTGAATTAAGTTAAAATGAGTTAAATTTTGTGTCATGATGCTTCAATAAATACATTTAATGTATTTGCGAAACAAAATCATGAGTTTTAAGTAAAGGAACATATTCTCGCCCATGGGCCTGCCCATGGGCGACATAGTCTAAATATTGAGTTTTTATACAATTTTTTTTTCATTTTTTCTTCCTTGGTATGTTACCATGAAAACGGCATGTTTAATTTTGTAAATACCTTTAACCGAGACTGGGCAAAGACCGTAGAGTTTCTGGACTTTTGGGTTTCCAGAATTAAAATGGGACGTGTTAAAAGAATTTCAACATTCAAACATTATACATCTGATAAACAATTCAGTGTTTGGTAAAAAAAGGACAGAAAGGCAATATAATTATACATATACATTGAAGAAACCTAAACATGCAAAAGCTGACAAATTAACACAGAGTATCAAAAAGACCACTGCTAACAATAATTTTTGATAATTTGAGACATTGATATTTCCTCAAAGCCTCCTAATATTAGCATTCCCCATGCACTTCCATTGTGAAAACATAACTCAAAGCCTTTATCAAGACAGCTTTGGATAAAACAATTACCAAGTCTCAGGGTTGTACAGTAACGGGGCACCAACAACTGGCAACAAATGCTACAACCACGTTTCACAAGCACCTCAAAGATAACCTTGACCTACAATTGACATGATCACATGCTGAAAGAATTTACCAGGACCATGTGGAATATGTACCTTGTGGGATATCCTCGTTCAATACTCTTACCACTGTATTCAAGTGGAAGCATGCGTCAACCATGTTTCACAGTGACCTTAAAGGTGACACTGGGGAGGGTTTGTTCAGACACATGCAACAGCAAAGTTAGACAATAATAGAGGTAGACAATGATTGGTTGGTTGGTTGGTTGGCTGGTTGGTTTGTTGTTTAACACCTCACTCAGCAATATTCCAGCTATATGGCGGCAGTCTGTAAATAATCGAGTCTGGACCAGACAGTCCAGTGATTAATATCATGAGCATCAATCCAGGCCATTGGGATCGATGACATGCATCAACCAAGTCAGTGAGCCTGACCACCCAATCCCGTTACTCGCCTCTTACGACAAGCAAAGTCGCCTTTTACGGCAAGCATGGGTTGCTGAAGACCTATTCTACCCCAGATCTTCATGGGTCAGGTAGACCATGATATCACCATATGTAACAAAAATCTGAATGTGGATTTTGACCTTAGATCAAAACCATTTCAAAACAGGGCTGTATCCAAAATATGAAAATATGTTACCACTAAGTAGGATTTACATATCTCCTGACCTTGACCTTTTGCCTTCTTATGAGATGTGCTAAAAAAAGCTGACCATTTTTTAAATATCTACTTTGTTGTATCCAGGGACATGTTTAACATTTTCTGTAAAAGAAGCATTGACAGGTTGCATAGTTTAGGGATTTTGGGGGGTTTGTCCTAACAGCCAGATGGAAGGACACACAGAGGTATGGATAGACAGACAACAGACGCAGACCTATGGGAAAAGCTCATATTGACTTTGTAACCAGTTTGAGAATGAACAGACAAAAATATTTCTGCACTGAGTTCAGAGTGTCCTGGTGAGATTAAAAAAAAAATAGCTCACATGGATATGTAGCCATATGTAACAGTTTGATTGTGATGTCATAGTAACAAATGACTTCACAATGGTCTGCAAAGCAATGTGATGAAATTTTAATTGTCGCGATATCTCTAAATCTGTGTATTACATCAGAGGCATACTATGACTCTCCTTACCTGAGAGACGGAATCTGGCATGACCATCGTGAAGGTGGGCGTGGCCTCACAAACCTCCTTCAGCTGGAACTTGTCATCCATGTTGAAGTTCTCTACCTGCCAAATACGAACACGTCATAAACTTAAAACGAGAAATCAGGCAGGTTACGAAATTCCTTGTATTTTTGCCGCTTTTAGCAATATTCCAGCAATATCACGGCGGGGGACACCAGAAATGGGCTTCACACATTGTGCCCATGTTTGGAATCGAACCCGGGTCTTCCGCGTGACGAGCGAACGCTTTAACCACTAGGCTACCCGACCGCCCTCAATCTCAATGAAGATTGATCGAAAGTGTTCTTCTCGTTGTCACACTTCCGTTCCAAAGGGTACACTGAAACTTCTTAATGAGTGTCCTATACACTTGAAAAAATATGCATTTCTATCCCTGCCAGGTTATTTTCTGAGGTCAATAAATCTGGACACAAAAGAAACTAAACAGTATCAGACTGTTATTACCAATATTCCTCATTGACATCAATAATAACACTGTATATGGACCAACCGTTTACTTTTCTTGGAGTGGGGGATAAACTTCCAGGTAAACATTGTAAAATATGTGACCAACCATGAGATAAGGGATCTCATGGTTGAAAATTCATCACACATGGCAATCTTCACTTAAGTAAGTTGATGTCAAACATCTTTATGACGTCAGAGCACAATTGTATCCCAGCACCCATTAGGTCCCTCTTCTCCTGGTGGGTGACATACAGTATATCTTTTTTTGTCGCTGTGGTCAAAGCATACAGTTTTCGTCTCTGAATGAATGAGCTGATCAACTGTATTTTATTGTCACCATTTCTTACGAACAGTAGTGATAACAACTCATGGTCATTTGATTTTGATTTTTGGGTAATTTCAGGGTTTTCTTTGTCAGTCGGTCGCATGAACCAACCCAAACAAACATAAGGGGTGAGGTGAAATACGGTTTAACGTCGCAGCCAAGATTATTGCACTTATATAACAACGTGCATGCACATGTGTGTTTGTGTGCGTGTGTGGCTGCTTGTACTAGTCCGGACTGATGCCGATTTATAGTGCTAGCTCACTGAGATACCATGCCGCAGTTTAACATGAATACCCCACTCAGACACAGTATACTGACTCCAAGCCGACCAGTCCTTGTTTTAGCCCCTTAATGCCGAGCGCCAGACAGGGTAACAACAAGTACAATCTTTTAACGTCTTTTTGTATGACGCGGCCCGGGATCGAACCCTGGACCTTCCGCTCTCCGGGCGGACGCTCTACCACTTGACCACGGAGGCAGTCAACAAATATAAGGCCTTACAATTATCATGATTAAAGAGTACTGGTATTTGTCGAGTGTACCAGTTAGTTTATGAGTTGACGAATGGATTCCAGCATTCTTATTGTTTGTATGCGACATTTCAGAACCGATGCTGGTACCTTTATCAAGAGCTTGCCTGCACTGAAACCATCTCTTGCTTAAAACATGTACAAGAACCTGTAATGATGCATTGCTTTGAAAAAATAAAGAAGTTTAATCAATCAACCATCTCTGTCTTTACTCAAAATTACAGCTTCTACAATGTCACTTGCACATATAGACCAGTGGACCACTATATATGTCTAGTGGACCAAAATATATGTCAAGAGGACCAGTGTGTGTGTCTAGTCCTGGAAAAGGCCAATAACAAAGCACATGATTTTGTAACCATCATACCACTTTCATGACTTTGCCAGATGCCCGCTGGTGCACGATGCAACATGAATGCTGGAAGTCACATGACTTGCATGGCGACAGTTTGATGACAGTTGTCGCCATATGTTCAATGAGTCCAACTGCCGTGTCATCATGGAGATCACGATGTAGCAAACATACTGTCTGGGAGATCTCACAATCTGAAAATTTAAAAAGGTTTCTGAGGTATTTTATTTTCATGACATCATCATCATGATTAAAAATAAAGATAATAATATCAAGGCAAAATTTCACAACCATGTATGCTAAAAAAGCGAAACCATTATTACCTCGTCACCTAGTCCTGCACTATGACTGTGGAATTTATATTTTCTTTTACTAAAAGCCAAGACAAGTCTAAATCAAACTAACCAAGTCCATATGATTCCACATATGTTTGTTGGTTTGTTTGTTTACTGTTTAACGCTGCACTCAGCAATATTCCAGCTATATGACGGGGGTCTGTAAATAATCGAGTCTGGACCAGACAATCCAGTGATTGATATCATGAGCATCGATCGCCGCAACCTGACCACCCGATCCTGGTTCTTTCGAAACAATATTTTTTATTATTTTAAAGACATGTGTTAGTCTACTCGTCACTCTCTGTCACAAATACTCTCTGTCACAGCGCTGCTTAACGTAATTTTATCTTGACTTGTGACACAGAACCATTGGCCACAACAAATAATATGGTGAGAGAGGTTTTACACTGCTTTAAAGGGGAAGTGTACACGCAAAAATCACTTTCTTTCTTTTTCTAAACAAAACGCAATTTTAGAATTAATTAGTATCTGTGTTTGAAAATAGACACTCATTTTTTTCACAGTGAACGTAGGAATCTCACAATAGTGTGAAAATGATATGCCGTTGTGAGGCCTTCGTTTTTCGAGCTAAACAGGCCTGAGTTATCCCCCTTAGATTATGACGTAATTGGTGCCAATTCAATTGGGTCCCTGTCTATTCTCAACGCAAAAGATATCAAGTACCAGTTTGCGGTAAAACAACATGGCCTACGACACACTCCGGCGCAGTGGTGACTCAGCATAACACTATGCTGGCTGGCATCTGAGACGCTAGAATCACATACCTGGACCTACACCACGTGAAGCGGCTCTAACAAAGCATGATGACGTCATAATGTTTATCAATTGGCACCAATGACGTCATATTGCAAGGGGCATAAGCCATGGTGTTTTTGTTGTGGAAATAGAACACTTGGTAAATGTGAAAAATATAAATCGTTTTAATGCGAAAAATATGTTAATGAATTGTGATATTTTTATATTTTTGTCTATGACACTTCTATGTTAACACTTTTAATGTGGAAAAAGTACAAGAAAAATAGGTTCATTTCCGTGTGAACTTGCCCTTTAAGGAATATTCCAGCGACATCACAGCGGAGGACACCAGAAATGGGCTTCACACATTGTACCAATGTGGGAAATCGAGCCCAGGCCTTCTCTGTGACAAGCGAATGCGTATATCACCAGGCCATCCAAACACCCCAACTTGATTGTTTTGTCACAATGTTGCAGGGCTTCTTCTTGCCTCTCTATCAGCTGAGTGACTGAACTTTTACATGTTGCTATACATACAGCCAGGTTAGGTTTACAGCAACGTCAAGACTTCACAGTTTGGTGTACCTAACATTTCTCCATCTCCATAAATACATATGGCTGCCATTGGGTGTACATGCAGTTGATAGTTTCACCCAATAAATCAAGATGCAGCCTGGTCCAGAGAGAAGAACACAAGTGGAGACGCTAAAGAACACTGAGATTTCATCGGCACCAGTTTTCAAGCAGCATGGGCCACCATAGTCTTGCGGCCTCTACTCTACACATTGTTTCAGTATCATGCAGTGTAAGGTTAGAACAAAGTTCAGTTGATTACCGTGATTTAATCATGGCCTCATTTCATAACCTGACTAAGAACAGACATTACACAGAATATACACAAAAATAAATGATTATTTCTTGGCACATAAAGGTTGTATAAACTTATTATTTAGGAAGTGCCCTAGTGGTTACGAAAAAAAGTTACATGTATTTGGGGACCCATTAAAATTGTTACATAAAATTCAGGGTCAGCAAAATATGATCCAGTCCTAAGATCCAATCTCATCGGCCCCCTCCCCCATAATTAATAACCAGTCCCTTACAAGTTGTTAAGGAAAGATGTGTGAAAAATGTATCATGAAATATAATTATAATTTTATCCGAGACAATGAATTACTGACAAATTTAAATATTGTATTTATGCCCTGCGACTCAGGTGCAAATCAGCTTACATGCCTGTTTAATTATAATCCTGGACCTAATAGAACCTAAGTCCAACTTGTTGCCATGGAAACGTAAAACATAAAAATTCATAAAACTCCTAAATAGCAAAAGGCACCAGTTCAGTATGTGTCTGGTAAACATGCGAAGTTTTGTAAGAAAGTATTTAATGGTTTTTGAGTTACGCTCCGGAAACGAACAGCACCCTTATAGAACCTAAGTCCAACTTGTTGCCATGGAAACGTAAAACATAAAAGTTTATAAAACTCCTAAATAGCAAAAGGCACCAGTTCAGTATGTGTCTGGAAACATGCAAAGTTTTGTAAGAAATTACTTAACGTTTTTTGAGTTACGCTCCTGAAATGAACAGCACCCTTATAGAACCTAAGTCCAACTTGTTGCCATGGAAACGTAAAAAATAAAACTTGAATAAATTCCTAAATAGCAAAAGGCACCAGTTCAGTATGTGCCTAGTAGACATGCAAAGTTTTGTTAGAAAGTATTTAACAGATTTTGAGTTATGCTCCGGAAACGAACACCACCCTTATAGAACCTAAGTCCAACTTGTTGCCATGGAAACGTAAAACATAAAAATTTATAAAACTCCTAAGTAGCAAAAGGCACCAGTTCAGTATGTGCCTAGTAGACATGCAAAGTTTTGTAAGAAAGTATTGAATGGGTTTTGAGTTACGCTCCGGAAACGAACACCACCCTTACAGAACCTAAGTCCAACTTGTTGCCATGGAAACGTAAAACATAAAAATTTATAAAACTCCTAAATAGCAAAAGGCACCAGTTCAGCATGAGTCTGATAGACATGCAAAGTTTTGTAGAGAAATATTTAACGGTTTCTGAGTTATGCTCCGGAAACGATTTCTGGACGCACACACGCACACACGCACACACATGCACTCACGGACGGAACCCATTTCTATATCTCCCGCCAACTTCGTTGGGAAGGGGGATAATTAAAAAGATGGAGTACTTCAGGGATCTGTCCCAAGCCCACTTTTGTTCATCATTTCTAGAGTGATAACCTTTTTGCTTATAAAACATCTACCGATGTCCAGCCATGGTGGCCACATGTATAAAAATGACTTGGTAAATACCTCAAACTGGGCTAAAAAATGACAAGTATGATTCAATCCCAGTAACACAGAAAGTATAACATTCATGGGTAAACTGGATCCCAGTATCAGGCCGAATTTATACATGGACAGTGCTCTAATTCAAGGAGGAGAAGAAAGCCTTGGGTTTCAAAGCCCTTGTTCATGGAAATTGGACATGAATGAATTTTTAATAAAGGTCAGGCACCCTGTAGAAACCTTGAAAATCAACGTTTACCCCATCAACATTACGATCCAGACTGATGTTTGTCTGTTTGTTGTTCAGCAATATGTCCAGCCATATGTTGATGGTCTGTAAATAATCGAGTCTACCACAGACTATCCAGTCATTGTCATCATCTGGGACAGTCTGCACAACTGGGATACAATGACTTGCCTGAACCAAATCAGAGAGCCTGACCACCCCATCCCATCATTTGCATCTGCATGGGTTGCTGAAGACCAATTCTAACCCGGATCCTAGGAGAGACTACCCGAAGAAAATCTGTATGGATAACAAACTCTGAGCAAACACTAAAGAGAGAACACTCATCTTGACTAACCAAAAGACACTCTCTGAAAACACTAAACCAGTCATCTTCATCACAGATTACAATCCCCCTGCACTCAAGATCAGCTCCATGATAAAAAACTCCTGGAACCTACTCAAAATGTAGATACCTGCACAAAAACGTTCAGTCCCACACATCACATCATATAGGAAGAACCACACACATGAAGGCATCCTCATGAAAGTGGCCATCACATACCCACCACCCAAAACTGAACCAGAGGCCAACCTGTTGTTAGTGATTGATGTATTGGAGAAAACACGCTTACGAGGTTTTGGTAGACAGAGCATGCCCTGGGGAGAGGGAAAAACAAAGGGAGCAAAGCCCCTGTGGTTTTCCCGACCCCCAGGGTATGCTCTGTCTACCAAAACCGATGGAAAGTGTTTTTCCATACGTATAAACCGAAAAAAGACAACTTAACACAACATTTATCAACATTTTTATGTTTCGAACATACTTTCCATGAACCTTAGGAAACGCGAGTAAAATAAAAACCAGTGTGGCTTATCAACACCTCTGTAGCCTCGTGGTACACTCACTGGGCTACAGATATGAAGGTTGCGAGTTCGATCCTCGGGAATATAAAGAAAACATTTGTTATTTGATTTTACATTTCATTACATGTTACAATCTGAACGGAAGTTACATTAATAAAATACCCAGGACATTATATAAAGTCCCTGGGATATTATAGCAAATATGACTTGAATATCCTATAAAATCCCACGGATATTACATAAAATCCCAGGGACATTACAACGTCCCTGAGATTTAACCCGACTGGAAAGTAAAACCTCGCAATAGATTTTAATGCCTATAGAAAGAAGTCTCTTACTTAATAGCGATCCCAATGAATAGGTTTATAAAGCAAGGACACACACCGTCGTTGTATGATAAAATGCAATCAACCAAGTCCCTGGTTCACACAGACTTTAGCATGATATATTCAATGACATTTTCAAGTTTTTCTCAAGACAATATACCCCCCAATATATAATGTAAAATTCAAAAACTTTCCCATTACAGTACCACAACCTTAAATTCACACAAATTATATATTTATGCTTCCCCACAAACAAAATCAGCAAAGACAACAATTGCTTTTTAAAATTTACAACCTGGTATTCTGACACAGCAGCCAATGTACCCAACATAAATGGCAGCCTTCGGACAGCGCACAAATTTGATTGGCTGCAGAAGGGGTATTCCCTGGAATGCACTTGCGTGGACCAATCAAGTTACGGTTTACATTTGTTTTGGGATGTCGTATCCATGAAGGTTTTCATGAAATAGAATGTAAAATATATTTATTTAAAAACATTTCTAGTGTAGAGCTTCAGTTGACATAATTCAAGGACCTTTTTGCCATTTTCAAGACCCTCTGTAAAATTCAACGGTATATCAAACCCAAACTAAATTCAAGGTTTTTTTAAGACGACTGTCAAAATTCAAGACTTTCCTGGATCAGCGCAAACCCTGATGTCACCGAGTCTTCACTAACCAATCCATTTGGTTCAATCAGCAAAGGCAGATGGAAGGGCTACTCATTACCTTCCAAAATCAGGATCTGTTTCATCAATACTTGTCTGAAATGTGGACTGATTGGTGTATTGTCCAATATGCTGTGTAGGGGGGATGTTTGTCGAATTTTCGTCAACAAATGAAACAAAAGTTTCAAGACATCAAACGAGCCCTGTTGATTACAAAGCAATGTGCTCACTGGTCTGTGTAGATGCAGGTTTCCCTCTTAACGGTGGCAGGCCGTGGCTTGATTGGTTGGTTAAAAATCGCAACCGGAATTACAAAATTGCCGTATGTATTCACATGTGATTGGTTGGTTGGTTGGTTTGTTGTTTTACGCCGCACTCAGCAATATTCCAGCTATATGACGGCTGTCTGTAAAATAATCGAGTCTGGACCAGACAATCCAGTGATTGACTTCATGAGCATCGATCCACGCATTTGGGATCGATGACATGCATCAACCAAGTCAGCGAGCCTGACCACCTGATCCCGTTAGTCGCCTTTTACGACAAGCATAGTCGCCTTTTACGGCAAGTATGGGTTGCTGAAGACCTATTCTACCCCGGAATCTTCACGGGTCTATTCACATGTGACAGAGTAACATAGTGCATCATACAGAGGTAGACACAACCACTAGTCCGAGGCTAGTAACAATCCAGATGGACTCGTTGTTTCATCCCCTTGTTACTTTACATCACCACTTGTCAAAAATGAGTGAGTGAGTTGGGTTTAACGCCGCTTTAACAGTATTCCAGTTAATGTGGGAGGAAAGCCCGAAGTGATTCAGGTTTTAGGCGTTTACCACTTCGGTGAAACCCACGAGCACGGGTATGGTGCTGACAAACCTAGAAACATAATCGGGGCGAGCCGGGATTCGAACCCACAATCATACGTTTCTGGCGTGCCCAAGAGACGCAACTCTGCACAGCGAATCGCGGCGCCTTAGACGACTGTGCCAAACGTGCCCCCTTGCCAAAATGAGCCACAGATGAGTTGCATATGGACCAATGATGTCTACCCCTACCAATGTCCATCTCTACCACATGGGTGAGTGAGTGAGTTGGGTTTAACGGCGCTTTAACAGTATTCCAGTTATATCACGGCATGTCAGCTTAATGTGGGAGGAAAGCCCGAAGTGATGCAGGTCTCTGACGTTTACCACTTTGGTGAATCCCACGAGCATGAGCACGGGTATGGTGCTGACAAACCTAGAAACATAATCGGACCCACAATCATAGGTTTCTGGCATGCCCAAGCACGCAACTCTGCACAGCGAATCGGGGCGCCTTAGACGACTGGGCCACCAGTGCCCCCTTCTACCACATAAACCATTATCTTACACTTCATAAAGGTCATTTACAAACAGGAAGTAAAACTGTTTTTTCTAACCAGTGGGCAGATGGAGCTTGACTTTTTTACCTTTAATTTTGGCACTCTTCACAGCATGTAGAATCTGGCATGTGTATGGCAGCGGTCGGTTCAAGATGTGCAGAGTCAGCGAGTCTATCACAAGCCCTACACTCCTGATCCCTGGGGAAATAACACCTTCAACAATCTTGAGAAATTCCCCATCAATGGAGGGCGATCCCCCACGCTGCCACCCCAGAGGGTCATCGCTGCAGTCAACAATGTCAACTCTGAAAAGTAATGCAACTGCATCATCTTGAGTCAACACATCTGGTTGCAACGTCAAGCAGAGTTATGTCCCCTGGATAGGCTGATCATGTGGAACATTTAATGCGAGGACAGCATCTGTTTGTAGCAAGCAAGCTTGATTCAAATCAATATAAACCTATTTTATTCATTTGTTAAATCAGATATGTTGTTCTGCAATCGCATACCTACAGCCATCACAATAATTTGGATTGTGCCACTAATTCTTATGCTCATGGGATTCTTTCATAGTATTGCAGTTTTTTTTATGGCTCTTCACTTTTTTAGCAGTTTATATAAATTAAGCCCACATCACATTTCTGTGTTTTGTTAGTTGTTTAATGCCGCACACAGCAATATTCTTGATACCGGATGGTGGCCTGTAAAAAATCAAGTCTGGACCACACAATCTAGTGATTGAAAAATAATAATTCAATTCAGTTTATTGTATTCAAGACCACAAGCCGACATACATGTAAGTAATATAGTGTTATGGCTAAGGTCTATATAGATATAAACATGTACCGGTACGCTTCACGAGATCAGGGTACAATGACATACAATCAACCAAGTCACTCAGTCAGACATCCCGATACATGGTTCACCTCTCACGAACAGCATACACTTCTGTGTGCACATCAAGGCCTGGCCACAAGATAATAGATTCTCCAATGAGTGAGTTGGATTTAACTCCACTTTGAACAGTCTTCCAGTCATATCAAGGCATGTCTGCTAAATGTGGGAGGAAAGCTCGAAGTGATGGAGGTCTCAAAGGTTTACCACTTTGGTGACATCCACAAGCACAGGAATGAGGCTGACAAACCTAGAAACATAACCGGGGAGAACCAGGAATTGAACCCCCGATAATAGGTTCCTGCTGTGTCCAAGGGACGTGACCCTGTAAGGTGAATTGCGGCGCCTTAGATGACTGGGCAACCCGTTCCCCCAATTCTCACAACTACTGAGGGTATTTCATTCTATTACAATAGTACAGCCACAGTCAAAATGACTATCATGATACTATTTTAATAGTATTCTGAGCATCTTTACCTTCCAACAATGCAGAATTACAGGAATCTGATTAATCTTAGCTTGCTATGGCAGTTTGCTTCTTACATCTTAGCTCTGATGTTCATAACTGAGAGTGAAAACAGCTTACATGAACATAGCCTGACCAAGGTCACCAAGCGTGTTGTAAATGTCCAGCAGCAGTAGCCTAGCTTGGAAATACAGTAAAGAAGGCCGTAACAGGTTAGCCGTGATCCCACGAACCGTAACAATGGCATATAGAGATGAAAATGTTTTTTATCCTATCTTGGAACATAAGAATATTCAAAGATTATTGCCTCTATGTAAAACTCTATGCATTCAGTAACTATTTATGGCTTCCTTTTCTGCTCAGATTCCAATTACCATTCACAGTTTAACATGGATACCCCCTCAGTCACAGTAGACTGACTCCGAGCCGACCTGTCCTTGTTTTATCCCCTGAATGCCGTGCACCAGGCAGGGTAGCAACAAGTACCATCTTTTTAATGTCTTTTCGTATGATGAGGCCAGGGATCGAACCAGAGACATACTACTCTCTAGGCAGACGTTCAATCCACTAGACCACAGAGGTGGATCTGTAAGCTTGACAAGCCACGTTTGTCTGGCCCAGACTCGGTTAGTTTTAGGCCACCCTGATAATGGTGAAATATGTCTGACTGGACTAAACAACATACACTGACTCAATGCCTCACCTCCTTTGAAGGTCTTTTGACAAGGAGTCTTTGAAGTACCTTGCTGGTTTTTCGTATGTGATTAATATAACCTTTTCCAATCTAAAAAAAGAATTAACATGATTAAAAAAAAGCAGATTAACTACAGTACTACTCCAAATAACGAGTGTATATCAGTGTATATACATTACATTGTCAGTGCATCAAAACTTACAAATAGATACTGTCTGTAAGTTTTCTAAGACTAAGATATTATTATGATATGTAACTTAAAACAAATGCTTTTTTTAATATATCAATATCATTTTTGAATATATATGGACATACTTAATATAAATCATCTTGATCTTTTATACTTTCTTACCTTGGAGCAAGGCAGTTGATAATACTGAGGATAACATGACGTCCTGGCAGATCACAGCTATCTGAAACAATGTTGCACGACCCCACTTATCTATTAGGCTTCCAACACAGATTATTATGATTATAAGCATGCAGGAAGAATTTTCATTGTTGCCATTTCCAGTTTTTTGTAGACAAACAAAATCAGCTACACTTGTTTAAGATTCCGGGTTATAATGGTTCTTCAGCAACCAATGCCTGTCTACCAATGCGACTAACGGGATTGGGTGGTCAGGCTCACTGACTTGGCTGATGCATGTCATTGTATCCCAATTGCGTAAATCGATGCTCATGATGTCAATCACCGGATTGTCTGGTCCAGAATCGATTATTTACTGACCTCCGTCATATAGCTGGAATATTGCTGATGGAGGCGTTAAACAACAAACATGGCGTTTCATTGTTTCTGAACATCATGGAAGTTGTCTGCACTGAAAGCTAGTTTTGAAATTATGTGGAATTAACAATGACATATTTACCAACATCAAGTATAATAATTATTCTGTTTATGAATGGGGATATTTGTGATACATATAAGACTTTGTAGCTTTTCATTAAATTTCTCTTTTCACGATCAGGGCCAAGTTTGCTTATAATAGGCCTATCAACATGAGCAAGTAATTTTTAGGCGATTGATATTGTGCTCGGGTTGTTCCTATATTACATTGCACTTGCCTCAAGTCATGTATTTCGTAACACAAGTGCGAGGCTCACATGCAAAAGGCAGGGCCAACCCACATTATCATGATTATACACCAACTCTCAGTCGTGTCACCGGTGCAAACGTAAACACCAGATGCCAATTTGTGTCAAACCAGTCAAGATTCTAGCCCATAGTAAGCAAATTGTACATCCACAAAGAAAAAGCCATTAATCATGTTGATAGTTTAATACTTTCAAACTTTATGCGTAGGTGTTTTTTATATTATCTTTTTAAATATGGCTATCACAACAATGCACATACTTCAAATAGGTTCAACCACTCTGATCGGATGTTTTATCATTGAAATGGTCAGTAAACCCCAAATCTCATGAGGTGAGAATGGTAGATACTGTTGTTCTAGCCTTGAGCGGCGATGGGGCCCGACAGACAAAACAGCTTGAACTGTTGACTGTTGGACCCCATCGTGGCTCCCAGCTTGTTGTTTTAACGGTGACGTCACTGTTGTTTAACAATGATGTTGACAATGATCGTGAAAGTGGAGAAGTCCGTTCAAGAGAATACCACGTAATCATGCAAATGGTAAAATATACAGACTGGAGCTTGATCTTGTCCATATCAGTTTTTTTTTTTTCCAACAGTGACACCAGGACACTACAGACATTCCAGTGGCTGGTACAAGTAACTAAACACTATACCTTCAATTAAAACCAGTGGGGATTTTTCTTGCCCCCTCAGGATGTCGCCCAGCATGGTTGAATATATCAGTCGCAACACAATCTGTGAAAATGTTACATTATGACAGCAATCGATAACAATTCACGCCTTTCGTGGAGGCCGCCATTTTGTAGCCCCGCACTTAACGGTATATACTAAAATATTAACCGTCTAACGGAATAAGCTTCAGCAGCCAAAACCCACATGATTTTTACTTGTTGCTTAAATATTACGAGATAAATTAATATCACGAGTGTCAGAAATGCATTATCTATATTATTACATATTTCAGTATATATGACAGTGTATTTCTAACGTTGACATTCGTGATGATAATTGATCAAAAACAATTTATCGACACAATTGAAGCGCCTGTGTCCCGACAAGGTGAGAAAATTTGTGAGAATCATTTTGCTGGGCAAAATCAAAACCTTCTTAATCACGTTTGTCAAAAAGTTACAAGAATATGTCAGTTCTATGAAATTTGAATAGTATAATGTTGCCCTCATTGTATTACATGGTACATAAAATCTTCCGTGACATAGAAGAATGCTTGATTCTGATTGGTAAAATAGAGGTTTGCTTTTTGCTACAGATACCTCTTTTAAATATACTGAGCCTTTTCACACCAAACCGTGCGTATATATACATCGATAGCCTACATATCGATCCATAAAAAATGGCTGTCGATCGACTTCCCATAAGAACTGTACACCGTGTCGATATTTTCCAGATTCCTTTATAGTATTAAAGTTTTTTATTTTTTTATGGCATGTCAGATTAACTGTAATAATATGAACGAATACTATAAACAAAGGTTTATTTTCTACATGCTTTCAGTGTTGCGCTTTATAAATATAAACACGTTTTATTTACAGCGAGTTAGTGAGTTTACAGGGTAAAAATAAAGTTATTGACAAAATAAAATAAATACAATCCGAATAGAGCCCAGAACAATGCTTAAGTTCAGTGTCAGAGCAATCTAGACTTGCCAAATCATTGTTGACTTGAGTTGGATTCATAATTTTCTTTGGTGTCTAGGACACAGACTAGGTTTTACATCGCTTCAGCAATTTTCAAGGCATATTGCGGCTGGGAGGTCAAGAATTTGGCTTAACATATTGTACTCACAGACCTACCAGCTCTCCTGCAGTCTCAAGATATCCAATCTAAAATCAAGCTCTCAAGTCAAGATTAATTGATCTCAAGCCAAATCCAAACTTTAATGTTGAAAGCAATTTTGGAGGAAATACAGAATTTAATTACAGTGGAATATGATATGTCATGTTTTCCTTTCTGCATGACAATCAATTTCTGTGGCAAAAATGATGCCCAAGGCCATGAACCTTCCCCACCCCCACCCCAACCCCACCCCAACCCCCCTCTGTTAAGCCCTCTACTTCAATTCATTGGGATCTCCGCTCAGCATGTTCATTTACGCGAATTAAAGCTCAACGCACGATAGCGGTAGCGGTTCTGTTTATGGTCAAAGGGAGGTAATCAAGTTTATATAAGAGTTAACTCCCTTGCCCCAACTCCATACAGTGTTAGTCTCTAAACTTCTCACACGGCGTATACCGTCTCGCAAAGGGAGGTAATCGCGTACACCAAATCAAGAGTTATGTCCCTTGTTCCAAATGGTAAATCTGTTTAGCAAATGGTAAACATTATATACAGCTACTTCCCTTTGACCATCAACGGCACTGATTCTCCGATTTGTGTGTCAAGATGCAGTATTCAGGTAACGAATTAGGCTTTGTTGACCCGTATGGACCTACAATCATCAGTGCTCAGCCAATGAAACCACAACCGTGTCCCTCGGAATATATTCTCCAAATTATAACTACAAAATATTGAGAAGAGTGCACGCAACCGTTGATTGGGTTGTCTCCCTTTGACCTGTAACCGAAAACGGTCCTTCCCAACCCGTGTCACCTCCGTTACTCTTCCGATAGCAGTGCGGCAAGTAAGCTGGTTTACTTCCGTGAACGTGCACACACGTCGCTATATAAGTGCAATAATCTTGGACGCGACGTTAAACCCCATTTCACCTCATCTCACTTCAGTCGGGGAGTGACTATATTGATAGTCAAAGGGAGGCAATCGTGTTTGTAAAAGAATTCACTCCCTTGCGTTAATTCCGCACAGTGTCTTCACTAAAAAACTTCACACACCGTCATCAATCAAAGGGAGCTTACCGCGTACAACAAATCAAGAATTATATCCCCTGTCCCAAAGGGAGGTAAATCTGTTCAGAAAATGGTAAACATTATATACAGTTACTTCCCTTTGACCATCAACGGCACGGATTCTCAAATCCAAAGAGTCGCATCTATGTTTCACTTGCTTGGTAATAGGCCGTGGGCTAGGTATGACCCACAAGCACCACCGTGTGAATTTCTTTCATGAATACAAAGTACAAAAGATGCACTCAGGTTGGAAGATGATGGGCTCATAGGATGGACACCGAATTGGGCGGCCAGCTAGTTCCAAAGATTCAATTTCAGGTTGTTTCAAACGGTCAAGGTTCATTGTTAAACGCTGATAATATTCTCTGTGATAGCCATGGGTTTCTTCCAGAACTGCCAGCAGGCTTGTACATGACACTTCCATTTGATTTGGCGTTTCTGGAGGTTCTGCCATCCTTCTACGCTTGATCTCTCCTTCAGTTTTTCGATCTTCTATGGCTTTGCTCAGACGTTGTAGTGGGCCATACTTCAAGCCAGGTACATGTATGATGCACACTGGCTCTGGATCACTGGGGATATGTTTCCGTTTAGGTTGACATGTCAAAGCTGTCTTTGAGTTGTTCCCGGTTGTATAAGATGTTGGTCTCAGTCACAACAGTTCAACCTCAAAAGACACATAATCACGGTGATGACATTGTTACAAGGTGGGACATTTCCATATATATTAACTTGGGTATTCTGTAAGAGAATCTTAAGTATGTAATTGGAATATAATTTATTTCTGTGAATGCATGGTCCCTGTTCATTTCAAGCCATTCATATACGATTTTGACGATTTGCATTTGGACATTTTCTGTAAATTGGAAACTTAAGTAGCTAAGTTATGTATGAATTAAATGTTAGTAAGTGAATTCGTCTTTCACTTTCGGTGGTTCCCCCTGCAAATTCACCTTAACTAGTAGCTGTACTAAAGAATCTGAAACTCAACTTGAAATGGCAAAATTTGTCAAAATATCAAGCCAGCGTCCAAGAAATTGATTTGTATATTTGCTAAAATTACATTAACATTATGATCAGTTTTTTTGCACAGCTTTATAGTTGCCATCTTGAATATGTTACACATAGGTCCATTTCATTCAAAGTTCTGAAATTGACTCGAGCATTATACTGTGAACCTCTTATATGCATACAAAAGTGAGTGATATCAGAGTTGTCAAGAAGTATTCTGTTTGATTGTCCACAAGTAGATCAATAATCAGCCTACATCAAATTATGGTGTTTATATATGGTTTCCTGTGGTATATATAACACATCGAGATCGGTGAATAACACACAAGATGACAAGCCAAATCCTGAGCATACATCCAAGCGTTGTTCCGATGTAGCTAAGCCGAGAATGCAATATTGGGTATCCTACTCTGATATTATAAGAGTAAATTTGTTCCAAATTGTGCAAAAGATTTTCTCCTGGTAACATCACATGTTAAGAAGTACTTCAAGAGATGTACTGGAACACGTGTTAGACGATTAAAGTGGAATCAGGCACACGTACCTAGAACATATATCGGATTAAAGGTTTCTGCGAGAAGAATTTGGTTTTGTCGGGATATATGACGTTCGATTTGCCATGGGTTGGTCAATATTCACTCAATACCAACTATTGATACCTCATTGGAGAGGTACTTATATATGGCTTCCAGTGGTATATCACACTTGAAGATCAGTGGATCACTAGTGAGATGACAACCGAAAACATAATCATACCCCCAAGTGATATACTGCAAAACCGGGCGAAAACACGATATAGGGTACCATACTTTGAAAGGCTGTAACAACAAGTTCGTCCCAACTTTTTTCTTGTTAACATACAAAATCATGTTTAGTATGTTTATGGGCTTTAAAAAAAATTAGTTGGGTTTGGATGTGGGGGGGGTGCTCGTGTGTCATACCTAGCCCACAGCCTATAACGGTGTTGGAACCTACACCGAAACGAGGTTCCTAATTTTAATGAAGAAGTTGTTCATCCATAAATCTTATCCTAAGTTCGTATCTATGTAGTATGAAGGTAACGGAAAACGCCGGGTGGACCTGAATGAAACTGAAATCGCTAGTGATCAATCAGCGTGTGTTCTGCTCACCACAAAACACAGAGATAAATGCATATGCTTGATTGAGTTGATTGAGTGGTCTCCCTTTGACTTTAAACCGAACAAGCTCCTTCCCAGGGCGTGACACCTTAGTTACCAAAGAGTAGACATATTTCAAAGCGATGGCACACATGAATAAGCTTTAAAAAGATACTTAAATTATGTTTCTGAAAAAACAGTTACGTACGAGTAATTCGCTGTACAAAATCGGCTAATTTTCGCCTTAATTTCTCACATTTCTCTCCATATTTAAGCGTTTAATTTTTTTTTTTACATTTGATGTCATTTGATAACAAGTATATTACAATTACATGCAGAAATGCCTGGTCCACTGACAGGCAGTCACACCTGCATGTGACCTTTTTTAGGCACTCATGGGGGCGGTGGGGTAGACTTGTGGTAAAAGCGTTCGTTCGTCACGCCAAAAACCCGGGTTCGATTCCCCACATGGGTACAATGTGTGAAACCTGTTTCTGGTGTCCCCCGCCGTGATATTGCTGGAATATTGCTAAAAGCAGCATAAAACCAAATTCATTCACTCACATTCAGGCTGTCATACACTTGCTTTAAAGAGCTGTGTCTCGGACGTGTGCCCATCTTCACCAATCGACGGTTCAAGAACAAAAGATTGTGTGCAGTAGAGCCCGATTCAGCAGACAAGGAATACAAAAATAGTTACTGAATGCATGGAGTATTACATAGAGGCAATAATCTTTTAACATTCTTATGTTCCAAGATAGGCAATACCAAGCCCTACACCCGGAGAATCCTATCTCAGTAAAATGTAGACCCGATAGTAATAGGGCGCAAGTTTTTTTAACGCGGCACTCACTGGCTACGTGAGCCATCATCTCCGAGTGGTTGAGTGAGTTAGTGAATGTTACTGTTACTGTACATTGCTGCCCACAATACAACGTTTCGGCGACGACTCGTTATAAATGATAAAAAAACGGGAAACCAGAAACCAAACAATGGCGAGAACAATGATCCACGCCGGGACATGGTGAAGGGGGGTAGTTTCGTTAGGGATTTGGGGAGGGGTGAAGGTCAATCACCATCTGTAATAAATGACCGATCCATTATCACCTGACAGAAACACACACACAAACACAGATTGATTGTGATATAAACATGTTTATTGTTTATTTAATAGGGTCACAATACATTATGTAGGCAACAGTTGTATTGAGAGCGCCTGGAGATAATTTAACACCACAGTGTTTAAACAGATTCTGACACACAATCAAAGCATTGTTTAATTGTTATTGCAATATATGTATATTAAGGAAGTATCTGTTGATAAGAAATTTATCTGTTTCATATTCTATCATGTTTAAAACCACATATCAAAGTTAAAGTATATAAAAGGATTAAATATTTGATGTGCATTCATTGAGATACTTCGGAAGACTTGACTGAACAGAAAATAAAATTATGAAATTAGGCCGATATTTTATAACCCCCTTTTTAATCAAAGTGATTAAGATTTAACAATGGAAAAACCAAAACCTTAATGAAATGAAATACTAATAAATCATTGACGCCTTGCCGAGTAGGTTACCGTGACAATGCGAGCGGTAACCAATAGTCTGAGATGTATAAGAATATAATGGGGGGTATTTTCCCAATGTAAACATCAAGGAAGCTGTTAAAAATTACAAACAGTGTACTGATTACCAGAATGACACAAACTTGCAACAAACAAACAGAATGCTGTGAAACGTGTCCTGCATATATCTGTGCTCCAATGTCACTTCGCTCAAGGTCTGCACCTGCCGACAAATCTGGGATACAGACAGACTTCCCGGATGTGATATCTGTTCAGCAGCCAACACAGGAATCTCTCCAGACCCAGACCGTAACCCCCATGGGGACAGGTTCCGTATTTCCTCTGAAACAGGTGCATATGAGTTACTATATGCCACGTTAAGCAACAATCCAGCAATATCACGGCGGGAGACATCAGCTGAACACATTGTACCCCTCTGGTAGTGTGAACTTTCACCAGAAACGTGTAACATGCGATGGGCACACCAATCCAGGCAATATCTTAAGGGATGACACGAAATCAGAACAAATCCTTCAGCCTGACCACCTGATCTTATTTTGTTTGATTGCTGAGGACCTGTTCTAACTTGCGTCCTCACCGGGAAAATACACCGGCTGTCTCACTTGGACATTCCAGGCAATATCTTCTGGGGAAAAGGTGTTGCAAGTGTCATCCAAATACATAACACGCTATGATATTCCTGTCACATCGGCCATGTGTGACACAGGTATTAACTTTGTTTGTTGTTTAACGCTGCACTCAGCATTATTCCAGCTATATGATGCCGTTCTGTAATTAATGGAGTCTGGACCGGACAATACACTGATTGATATCATGACCATCGATCCACACAAATGGGATACGATGACATGCATCAACCAAGTCAGCGAGTCTGACCATGGCCACCCGATTCCATAGGTCGCCACTTACGAAAAGCATAGTCGCCTTTTATGACAAGCCAAAACACCAAACATTTTTGTTACCCAGTTGAAATTGTTTTGAAAATCATGTGTAAACACATGTACCATGAGACAAAAATGTCAATACAAGACATACAAATTAAAACAATACCACAAACTGTTGGACATTTTATGAGTACGTTCAGCTGTCACTAAATACTCAGCAATGTTTGAGCAATATGACGGTGGCCTGTAAATAATCAAATCTGGATCAGGAAAACCCGTGAATGAAAGTTAAGCATCGATCCAGGCAATCGGGGAACGATGACACGGAATCAAAACACTTCACCCAGTCTGACCACACGATCTAATTTTGTTGCCACGTACGACCAGCAGTGTGCTGAGAACATATTTACCCCAGTGCTATTCGCCGAAAATGTCGGCTCTGACCAGAAAGATCTTGATTGTAATACAACTTTCAGCACGTGTGGTCAGCAGACATTCCAAAGTTCCTCACAAATTGCTGAGGCAATTACATTACTGTGATGATAGATTGCTTGACTCTCACATTCTTTCTGTGGGTCCCCATGGGGAAAACATAATGCCAGAGTGCTGTCTCACCTGGTCAATGTACCAGTAGTAGGGCGTGACGTCAATGCCCTCTCTCTTGAACCCAGCCTCCAGCTCATCCTGACCGGATATCCTCATGGACCCACCGATTATCTCCCCTACATTGGGCATCAGGAGGTCAACCTGAGTAAAGGTAAAGAGTAAAGTCGTAGTGTAAGGCGTTCGTAACATATGCAGGTTCCTGATGCCCGCGAATTTCACTTGCAGCCGATGGCATGATAAGCTGACGGAATATTATTTATTAAACATGTCTCTTTTACGTTGGGAAGCTTTGGTGAGTTTGACAGCTAACCTGGTTTACCCAATCAATCCTGAACTTTTTAAACAAGAAATAAACACAAATATGACTGGAAACATATTTCTTTCAGACAATGCATTTCGCTGCAATCACACCACTGCAGCTGTTAGAATCAAAACAGTGTCTGGTGTGACTGGCGAACGACTGAACCACTTGGCCACCCTACTGCCCGCTGTGGCCTTACCGAGTCTGTGAGTCTGTGGTCGCCCTGGCTTCGCAGCATGTAGAAGGATTTTATCTCAGCTGGGAAGCGACACAGGAAGATGGGCTCGTTAATCTGGTCAGTCATCTTCCTCTCGGGTGCTTCTGGGATATCCTAAACATGGGAGAAAGGGGGTGTACACGGATTTAGTGTTTTAGCATCGGTGTAACTCCACACACAGAACTCAGAATAGCTTGAACCACTGGGCTACCTCGCTTCCTTTTAATTAAAATATGGATGGTTAGAGGGTAACAGATGATCAAGGGTTATAGCTTGCACTGGAAATACTACGGAGAAAAATCCTGGTATGTTGCGTGTATGACGTGGGTGAGTAGGGTTAACTCAACTTTGAACAATATTTCAGTTATATTATTGCATCTCAGTTAAATGTCGAGGAAAGCCACATTTATCACCACCACTTTGATGGAAACCCAAATTTCCACCAAGGTTCCAACAAACCAAAACTTTTAATCGATACATCTAACCAGCGGATCCTGGCAGGTAGGGGGCGTAACTCTGCACAAAGACACCACCAGCCAAACACGTTTATACAATAAATAACTCTCTGTACGCAGCTCAGGTTCAGATTCACACACACTTAAAAATGTATAATACTATTTGTCAACACAGAGTCATGCTTGTCGATATTTGAGGTTTGCCTGTTGTCAACATTGAGGTATGCCTGTTGTCAACATAGAGGTATGCCTGTTGTCAGCATAGAGGTTTGCCTGTTGTCAACATAGAGGTATGCCTGTTGTCAACATAGAGGTATGCCTGTTGTCAGCATAGAGGTATGCCTGTTGTCAACATAGAGGTATGCCTGTTGTCAACATAGAGGTATGCCTGTTGTCAGCATAGAGGTATGCCTGTTGTCAACATAGAGGTATGCCTGTTGTCAACATAGAGGTATGCCTGTTGTCAACATAGAGGTATCCCTGTTGTCAGCATAGAGGTATGCCTGTTGTCAACATAGAGGTTTGCCTGTTGTCAACATAGAGGTTTGCCTGTTGTCAACATAGAGGTATGCCTGTTGTCAACATAGAGGTATGCCTGTTGTCAACATAGAGGTATGCCTGTTGTCAACACTGAGGAATGGAAGTGCTGCAGAGGGGTAGTTGGTTTTATTGACAAACACCCCTCTCCATGAAACTACCATAGTGAGCGGTGTTTGACACTTAAAAGAATTACTTTTCGACATTAAATCAGGACTTGGGATTCCTGTGGAAAGAACATAGTACTTTGTGTAAATGTTCAAACTTACGACAAAAGAAGTCTCTGCTTTTTCCCTGTTTCGTGCAATTATTAAATACCTTTCTTGAAATATGCTGATTGCTTTCAGACGAAGATGAACGCAATGATGTGTGTTACGTACATCTCCGAACTCATAGAAGCTGCCGTCTTCCTTCTTGGTGTCGTGTTCCTTGAGGTACGTCAGAGCCTCAGTGTACTGCATTCTCCGGAATGGCTTCTTTGGCGGCTTGAAGTCCTTCACGAATGAAAAAACACATGTAGCATGTTGATAAGGTAAGGGACAGGGCTTACTGAACAGAAACGTTCATTTACGTTGTGTCAAGCATGAACCTATTGACATATGAACGTCAGCTACTTACTGGGTTCAGTTCGTATACAATCTGACCGTGAGGGCCCTTCATCACTCTGTCCACGACATCGCACACCAAGTCTTCCAGTCGGTCAAGCAAGCCATCGAAGTCGATAAAGGAACATTCACCCTCTATGTGTGTGTATCTGGAAATATGGAAACAATATAATACTATGATGACTGGGTGCTGATACCCAGGAAGACAAAAGACATGTGTATCTGGAAATGTGGAAACAATATATTATTATGATGACTTGGTGCTGTAAATACTCAGGAAGACAAAAGGCATGTGGATATACCTCGGGCAAGGGGTGCGTTGTAAGATACACTCGCATCAAAAGGTCACTGTGGTAAAAATCTGGTGCAGCGATGGAGGAATATGATTAGACTCTCACACTCAGCTGGTACTCACTCCGCTAGGTGGCGTCTTGTCTTGGAGTTCTCTGCCCTGTAGGACTGGGCGATACAGAAGACGTCCCCGAGAGATGGCAGACATGTCTCCAGGTATAACTGGGAACTCTGGGTCAGGTAAGCCTGGAGAACAATGCAGTGTCAGTCTTTGCCCGACAGAGATAAGAAATATTTTGTTCATAATTTTCTTTGTTCATTATATTCAGGTTTACTTCATTTTCGTACATTTTTTCAATATTAAAAGAGTTACTTATGTACCCATTTTAATGACATTACATCATCGCCTATTTGGAACAGTGTATACAAGTTGTACACTGTTATACATAGGTCATTAGGTCAAATTGGTTGTCATTCAGAACTTGGTCTGTGGGTGATTTATTCTTTGCATCAGGTCAATCTAATCCTGAAATTCCCTACAGCCAAATAGTAGGGTGGCTATAAACTATAATCTTCTGTATTACAATGACAAAGTCAGACACATCTGTACATCTAATACAATGACAAAGTCAGACACTTTTGATGCTTGTTTTCATGTCTCCGTACAATCAGAAAGTTTCAGTTTCGTCAGGTAAAAACAAGTTTACAAGCCTGTACAGCACGAACCTCCTCCCCGAAGTAGGGGATCTTGAAAAGCGTCGACCCTCCTTCCACCTGCGTCTGTACCAGGGTCGGGGGAGTCACCTGTAATACCACAAAGAAGCTTGTTTGTTTGTTGTTGAACACCGCACTAGTACACATGGCAGCTATATGACGGCGTCCATTAATTAATCGAGACTAGACAAACCAGTGATTGATATTATAAGCAGGGATCCACGATGTCGGGGTGTTGATGACTCGCATTCAACCAAATCACCAACACTGACTAACCGATCCATTAAGTTGCCTTATACGACTGGCATACAGTGCTGGAGGCCCAATTTGGAGCATGATAAATAGATAGACATTATTAAACGAGTGTCTGTCAGATACCATTTATCTTAGTTTCAAGAGTAGTTTCAAAACAAATCTAACGAGCGAATCGATGCACATTTTGTCTTTTCTCATTGTAGCAGGGCGTGGAGTCGTCCCACAGATGACATCCTTACCTTGTCAGCTTGCTGAGGGGGTTAACCTCTTTGGTCATGTGGACAAGGCGTCCGACCTCTGATCAGAAGGTCCGTGGTTTGAATCCCATCACGGGACTCGGACATTTTATGGCCGCTACATTGGCGCCCAACGTGGGGCTGAGCACGTTCATATTAAATTTGAGCAAAATAAGCCTCAGTACCCTACTATGCGGCCCGGGACGTGCCTTCTGTTGACAGGGGAGTATGTAGCAGGGCGTGGAGTCATCTCACAGATGACATCCTTACCTTGTCAGTTTGCTGACGGGGTTAACCTCTTTGGTCATGTGGACAAGGCGTCCGACCTCTGATCAGAAGGTCCGTGGTTCGAATCCCATCACGGGACTCGAAAATTTATGGCCGCTACATAATGATCGCAGTGGCGCACTAATACATAACACATGAGTGACGTCAACCGGTTTACTGCTTACTCATACCTTGCGTAACCCTCCACAAAAAACGTTTTTAGCCACGTCTGTGGATTATAAAGGCGATTGCTCAAAAAGTTAACTAGATAAGATCAAAGAACAAGTATTAAACGCTCTAAAACCATAGCGTTTCGACACAGACGAAGGTGTATTTGACAGAAGCACGAGAAATATATCAATGAATTATAATCAGGAAAGTAGACCGTCATATTCTGACCTTAGGTCATCACCATGGAGTAGCCTATCACAAACTCTCAAATGGGATTCTCACCCACAGGAGTGTAAGAGTGAGAGGTCAGGCATCTATATCACAGCATCCTGTATCACATGAAGTCAAGACGACGAGGACGACCTACTGCGTTCAGGATAGGATGACTGACATGGGGGCTTCACGGCACAGAGTGCAAAATCCGTACTGCTGGAAACATTTGTAAAATCTCCACGTTCCCAGTGAAATGAATCTTGTCTGTGTCTGAATGCCGATCTCATTGTGAATTTATATGCAGGTCTGTCCACAACACGATAAGTAACACAATCACTGAGATTCTGCAGTGATATACCAACCTCAAAGTAGCCCCGATCTTGGTAGTGGTCCCTGAAACACTGCATGATGATAGAGCGCATCTTCATCACCCGAGACGTCTGAAACATAGTGCCGAGTAACTGAAATGGTGCACACTTAACACAACAGCAAATGGTGTTGAAACAGATGAAGGTATGTGTATGTGTGTGTGTGGTGGGAGTAGGGGTCCCTGGTTTAAAGAGATAGTGGAGCCAAACTACTTTTTTTGCAGGACATTGTTGTTTGTGATTGTTTGAGTGTGTGTGTGTGTGTGTGTCTGTGTGTGTGTCTGTGTGTGTGTCTGTGTCTGTGTGTCTCTTGTCGCATTTTCACCATAACGATTAGGGATAAATACGGGTTCAGTCAGCAAATGTTTGGCAACATTCTACTTGTTAGACTAAGTAAAATTCTTCAAACAAAAAACACCCTGCACCTGAAGGCACCCCTGTTTAAAGACAAGAAGGGTCATCTTGCCTCCCATGTTACCACTGCTGCTACAGTTACTTTTAAAAGTGGAATCTTTAATTACTTATTTTAAGGAGCTGCCTGAAATACATCAACATAGTTGCTTCCCCTGCTTGTCAGAATCCTATGATGGTGGGTTCGAATCCCGGTTAGTCTTAATTATGTTTCTAGGATTGTCATCGCCATGCGCCTGCTCTTGGGTGTCACAAGTGGTAAACATCTGAGCCCTTCATCCCTTCTGGCTTTTCCAAGTAACCCATTGTCATCTTGTCGTCCACAAAACAAGAAATCAATCAAAAGGTGGATAAATTCGCAATTAGTATAACTCACGTTTTCCCCCCTCAGCATCATATGCCTGTTGTCCAGCTGTACGTCCACGTGGGCCTCCTGGGGGAAACACACAATAAACACTTAATAAACAAATAATATACACACACTATTAAACAAATAATCACTACACAAGGAACACATAATAAACAAAACAATAAACACATGAATAAACACATAAAATAAAACAGAAAAGAAATAAACACTTAAAAGAAAGTTAACACATAAAACATTTAATTAACAAATAACAAACACACAGTAAACATATAACATATTATTAACACATATAACAAACATATATAATTAACACACATTAAACACATTAAATATATAAATAATAAAAACACAAGATAAATTCATGATAAACATGTGACCGACAAGCCTATCCCTATACAAATGAGAGTAAAAAGCTGTGGTTGTGTATTATTTGTATTTCAACAGATGTTTTCGGTACTTTGATTTCAAAAATATTGAAAACTATTTCTTTTATGTTGCAAATATATCTTGAATATCGGTAAATATTACTATACGGTATATTCCACTCAAAAGAAGTTACAAAAACAAAGGATTATTCATTGTACTATACGACAGATTTACTAAAGTATCATGAAAGTGTTATTTCATTTCTTTGTTACAGTATATATTGTATAACCTCAGTTTGATTAAGAGTGTACATTATGAGCAGAGTCTGTTGTTATACCTCATTCAGTAGGTTGTCAGCGCCCCCTGCCGGGGATGTTCCAATCAGCTCCCAATAGTCTGCATCCAGTTCATGGCTGTCAGGTGCCTGCAATGGGAACACCAATAGATATGTGGCTTGTGTGGACCACGATGTCTTATCATTTATATGCTTGAGAGTATGAACACTTAACGTTGCCTTCACTACGGAAGCAAGTGAGTCAAAAATATCATTTCTCTACATCATGATAATCAAATCAGGTAAAATTAGAAACAACCAACAGACACACAACAATATCACCAGTTTTCATCTTTTCACTCAACCACAGCAATGAAAGACTTCAAGAATTAAGAGTGTTAATTGTCATGGACAACAGGGATACCCTAGCACTCTGGTAGGTGATGTGATCGTTTAGTAAACAGAGACAAACGGTGTGTGCGTGTGCATGTGTGCATGTGTTATTGTATTACATCTGTAACATGAAAATGAAGGATGGGTGGGGTTTTACGCCTTGATGCTTACAGTCTTTCCAGGTGGCAACTCTTTGATGACGCCGTACACAGCAACGGTAGCCTCTGTCGCCAAAGTCAATGCCTCGTAGGTCTGACACTAGAAATACACATCATATAATAAACATGCATGCCTTCTCACATTCGTTTAAACATCAGCACGTCAATCAAACCAATACCACTTTTTCACTAGTACGTTCTGTTTACAGTAACATGATAATCATGACATGCACACAGTATATGGAGTCTGGTGTCTCAAGTATTGATTGAGTATTGCTTATCTGTGCGGCATGATTACCTGTGTCGCATGTCTACGGGCATGTCATGCTTATCAGTATCGATGATTGACTATTGCTTACCTGTACGACATGCTTACCTGTGCGGCATGTCTACGGGCACGTCATGCTTTTCAGTATCGATGACTGACTATTGCTTACCTGTACGGCATGCTTACCTGTGAGGCATGTCTATGGGCACGTCATGCTTATCAGTATCGGTGATTGAGTATTGCTTACCTGTACGGCATGCTTACCTGTGCGGCATGTCTACGGGCACGTCATGCTTATCGGTATTGAGGGTTGAGTATTGCTAACCTGTGCGGCATGCTTACCTGTGCGGCATGTCTACGGGCATGTCATGCTTATCGGTATCGTTGATTGAGTATTGCTTACCTGTGCGGCATGCTTACCTGTGCGGCATGTCTATGGGCACGTCATGCTTATCGGTATCGGTGATTGAATGTTGCTTACCTGTGCGGCATGCTTACCTGTGCGGCATGTCTACGGGCACGTCATGCTCATCAGTATCGGTGATTGAGTATTGCTTACCTGTACAGCATGCTTACCTGTGCGGCATGTCTACGGGCACGTCATGCTTATTGGTAGCGGTGTTTGAGTATTGCTTACCTGTGCGGCATGCTTACCTGTGCGGCATGTCTACGGGCACGTCATGCTTATCGGTATCGGTGAATGAGTGTTGCTTACCTGTGCTGCATGCTTACCTGTGTGGCATGTCTACGGGCAAGTCATGCTTATAGGTATCGGTGATTGAGTATTGCTTACCTGTACGGCATGCTTACCTGTGTGGCATGTCTACGGGCACGTCATGCTTATCAGTATTGATGATTGACTATTGCTTACCTGTACGTCATGCTTACCTGTGCGGCATGTCTACGGGCACGTCATGCTTATCGGTATCGGTGATTGAATATTGCTTACCTGTACGTCATGCTTACCTGTGCGGCATGTCTACGGGCACGTCATGCTTATCGGTATCGATGATTGCCTATTGCTTACCTGTACGTCATGCTTACCTGTGCGGCATGTCTACGGGCACGCCATGCTTATCGGTATCGATGATTGACTATTGCTTACCTGTACATCATGCTTTCCTGTGCGGCATGTCTACGGGCACGTCATGCTTATCAGTATCGGTGATTGAGTATTGCTTACCTGTACGGCATGTCTATGGGCACGTCATGCTTATCTTTACGTACGCAAGGTTTTAAATGTACCATGACTAGTAGCAGTTAAGCAAGCCATTGCACCATGTATGCTTAACTTAATACCATGTTTACCACCAATATTACTCAAAAGTTCCTGACTGCTAGAGGTCAAGCGACCCTGTACGACATGGAGAAGTCAAGCTACACAGTACGTCATGTAGGCAGTACGTCTTTTCACCTGTATACCACACCAACTAGTAACTTACCTGTACGTCATGTAGGCAGTACGTTTTTTCACCTTTATACCACACCAACTACTAACTTACCTGTGCGTCATGTAGGCAGTACGTCTTTTCACCTTTATACCACACAGTGTGACACTAGCTAGTAACTTACCTGTACGTCATGTAGGCAGTACGTCTTTTCACCTTTATACCACACAGTGTGACACTAGCTAGTAACGTACCTGTACGTCATGTAGGCAGTACGTCTTTTCTCATTTATACCACACCAACTACTAACATACCTGTACGTCATGTAGGCAGTACGTCTTTTCACCTTTATACCACACAGTGTGACACTAGCTAGTAACTTACATGTACGTCATGTAGGCAGTACGTCTTTTCACATTTATACCACACAGTGTGACACTAGCTAGTAACTTACATGTACGTCATGTAGGCAGTACGTCTTTTCACCTTTATACCACACTGTGTGACACTAGCTAGTAACTTACCTGTACGTCATGTAGCACGCACTGCAAGAACCCACTTCCATCCCGCAACACCACAAACATCAAGTTCTTTCCTGAAATGGAACAAATTGTTTTCTGTTCGTAAATATGTTCTGTCAGGTTGGTCTAGTGGTAGAGCGCCTGCCCTGTGAGTGACAGGTTAGTGGTTCGATCCCCGGCACGTTGCGGTTTAAAGGCAATGATCTTGAACACATCATTTAAGCCCATTTCACCTGAACCTCACCTCACCTAACACTACATTCTATAAGATGCAACAAGTGTTAATTATTTACATACATTTTACTCAATGTTCTCAATATCCAGACCCGAGAAGATCCGGGGTAGAATAGGTCTTCAGCAACCCATGCTTGCCGTAAAAGGCGACAATGCTTGTCGTAAGAGGCGACTAACAGGATCTAGTGGTCAGGCTAGCGTGGATCAATGCTCGTCAATCACGATTATTTACAGACCGCCGTCATGTAGCTGGAATATTGCTGAGTGCAGCGTTAAGCAACAAAACATACTATCCACCGACACTCAAGTTCTGCCAATGAGTTGAACCTTACGATAATCTTATACAATTATCTTGTTTTCCACTGTTCACATAATACCTTGCCTTCTCAAGCGATGTACCCATCCTTGAACCTTGACCCTTTTATTGCGGTTTTGAGTAGCCTCCCTTATCCGTATCTGCAACAACAGACTGGAATACACAAGCTGCGGACAACAGTACGGGTCATGGTGTTAAGACACTGCAGATAACACATGGGAGAGCATCAGTATCTTCGACAGCTGGGGTAACGAATAGTTTAAGCCTATGACATAGCCTGAGTTTTGTTTGAGACAGGTCATTGCTTCAAAATATAATTTGCCTGTGCTCAAACCATTTTCAGGGCAGATTTTTTGCAAGACATCAAACATGTTAAGCAAACAAAATTTTCAGTAAAATGTGACAACCAACAGTTTTTTCCAGTTTCTCGAGATATATTTTGTTTGTTTTTTAAAGCAAATCCCTTGCCGACATGTCGAAAGATATTTCGTCGATCTCTATAATCTCAGCAGTTCAAACTCCTTAAAGCGAAACGGTATTGCGTAAACTTTATCAACATTGACATCACATGTAGATGGCGCAAATAGACGAAACGTTAAACAAATTGTCGTCTGGCAATGTGTGGAAAAACAACAGTTTCCCATCTCAACCTCAGTCTGTTTTAAAATTACGTTAATATGAGTTGTAGGCCCGTGCGAGGGTTTAACAAACCGTATTCTCCGAGAGTTAAGCCAAGAACTGATATTATGCCCTTGCTATCAAAGTGGTGAAGCACCTAGTCCGTGATCTAAACTCACTTGTTTCGGCTTTGGAAGACTGGCATCCAATTTTATTGTCACCTTTCTGGCTTCTGCCAGGTTCCTCTCCGTCCGCAATGCGTCCTCCGCCTGCAACACAGTCAGACCATCAGTTCAACACACTAGAGTCGCTGTGCATTCCGGCATGCCACAACATGATTGTGGGTTCGAACTTCAATACCAGATTTGCCCACAGTACGAGTCTTGGTTTGTCAGCACCATACCAGTACAATTACAGCGACGACCCCATTATCAAACGAAATATTCATTTGCAAGTACTTACAAGACTAGAAGCAACACCATAACAAGAGTTTCACCAAAGTTACTCTAAAATAGGAAGTCTCCTGCCTCTGACTGCATAATTATAAGAAATTATTTGCACTTCAAGTTTAATGACATCACTACCGGTTTGGGGAAATATGTGTCCAATGCAAGACTACATTAAAGTCCCATGCATCTAACGTTATATATAGGAAAGTTACATGTACATCCGGTTTAATGTCAACACTTCCGGTTAGGGAAAACGGTGTCTTAGGAACAACTTTAGGAAAAAATCGTTCTTTCAGTGTCTAAGGAATAAATCTTTCCCGAAAATTCTTGAAACAAATAATTAAAAATATGATGTCCACATGTGGAATTCAAAAAAGCAATCTCATTAAAATCAGACCTCAGTTCTCGCTACTGCTTAACAAAGATCTGAGGACATTCCAATACGGCTCACGTCAGAACGACTAATCAGAGCATCGCTTACCAGATTATGAAAGTGACAGTGGGAATGTGATTTCTGATCAATCATCATGCAGCCTCGAGACTTTTAACTCCGAACGATAGTTACGGGTTTAACGACTGTATCCATACAATCTAGACCATCTATTAGTCATGCAAGAATATTCTTTTGTTCAGGTTTCAAATTTGTAATCGAGAATTTGTCAAAATACGTTTCGAAGCGAAGACGCCAATTTGAAATTAGTGCCGTAAAGCACGAGAAAGCTGCCTTCTGATTGGTCATGCCATTTGTCGGTCAAAGTTCGCGCAAGATCGGTCTGACGTGGCCCGTAATGGGATGTCCTCAGATCTTTGTTTAGCAGTAGCGAGAACTAAGATCTGATTTTAATGAGAATGTCAAAAAAGAGATGGAAAATATAGGTATACTATTCATTGAACGTAAGTAACCGTGACATGTTACTGATATCATGTTCTCATCACATGTGATGCAGAAGAATATGACATATGACTTTTTGAAAAGGACAAACATGCTTTGCCACAGACCTTCACCGTGATCTTAATCTTATGAGTAGGGCATTCTACCAGACTATAATCCCCCAGCCCTAATCCCTTAATCAGGTACCTGAATTTCAATTTTGAGCTGGATCAGAACACCCCACGCATTCGTTCGTCAACACTCGCATGTTTCCGTGACATACAACAAGGACATCCGCTTGTAGCGGAATGGGACGAATTGTTCACGAATGCACGGTGACCCACATTCGTCACCACTCGCCCCTTTCCGTAACCTGCAAGAAGACTCGTCCCCCTATCGATGAATGTTATGTGCGAAAATACGACAAACCAATCAAAATGCGCGTATGATTTCAAGTACTTCGTCAAAGAATCCCTCAGAAATAATTTTTGATTTTACATATGTCTTGCATCTAAAAATATACCCAAGACACAGTTAAATGTGTTCAATCACACTGTATATAACCCAGTGCGGATGTGAACGAGACATTGTCTGCTCGTGTCTGCAGACCCGATAAGATGCCGTCGTGTTGTGTGTGGCAATATGCTGGTGGTGGCGAATGCAGTCTGATTTGGGTTTTTCCAGATTCACGGAAAATCCACATTCGCCACCAACCCGTGTCATTCCTGGACTTGCCGAATACCAATGCCTTCTTGTAGGTCACGGAAATATACGTTGAAGACTGCTGTTCCCATGCAAAACGTGTGTTTTGTCACATGCTACGGTTAACGCTTGGCAAGGTAATGTCTGAATAATGAACAACAACCCAACACACAAGTGTCGCCCGCGGCAGTATTGGATTACGTTTGAACACAGAAGTTGTTTCTGAGGTTCGAGGGATTTTCTCAAAACCTGGTTAGTTAATATTTATTGCAGATTTGCTCAGCAGTCACTGTACACGTAATTACATTCGCTTTTGTTGATTTATTATTTTGAAACATTGGTGTAAAATCGCAAGTTTAACCATTGTTCATAATTATTTGATGACATTCTGCACTATGTAGTCAGATGGGGTATGTTTGAATGAAAAATTTAGACCATACTTGCTTGTGAATAATCTTAAATACCGATTCAATTTAAAGTGGGAAGAGTTTTTTTATCAATTTTAGTTTTTTTACGGTGTCTCTATTAAGTGCTAGTAACATACAGTATTAATAATCGAGTTAATATTTGCCCAAAAGCAATACTGTACCTCTTTGGTCGATCTCCTTTCTGCGCTGCTTTGCTCCTTCTGCCAAAGTTTCAAACACTTTTTGTACTGAGACTTGGAAATGACGTCATAAGCCTGAAATGACAAATATTTATTTAAGATCTGCATTCTGTTTATACATACCTTCTTATCATGTGGTGTGTTTGTTAATATCCTAAGGAACTATAGGGTCTGTCAGTTGTGCCCTGTTTTGTTAGTTAGCATCAGTATCCATGTTGAACAGTATCTGTGTCTTTATAATCGTTGTAGATTAAGCTGTATCATCTCATATTTACGAGAAAAATTGTTTTGTTAAACATTATATCTATAAATAAGTATGAGTATATTCACCTCAGTCGATCTCGTCTCGTCTCGCGCGTCCACGTGTATCGTGGGGAACGGCTCTCCTCCGACATGGCGCATAGCCTGAAATATTAACATGACTATTATATGGTACAAACATGCTTACATATACATGAAGATGCATAGAGATCATAAGCAGAGTGTTATTAATTATGAGTAATATTAAATATTATTTATAAAATAGTATTAATATTAGTATATTATATTATATGTTCGTAATAAAATGACATTATGCGAACATATGCCACACGATGGTAATAATCATCTCTTTATTGTATACAAGTGTCATTCTAATAACAGACTAAATTAACTTATCTTACCTGCTCTGAGACATGCGTGTGTGTGTGTGAACGAGCGCGAGTTCATGCGTGCGTGTGTGTGTGTGACGCCGCAATCAGCGACATTCCAGCTAAATGACGGCGGTCTGATAATAAACGACAGTAATGTCTAACACTTGCATCACGTCGGGCTCTCTTCCCACAAAATACATTGTCAACCATATTCACTCACTACCTTTCAAATTATCTGAATATAATTCAAATTTACATAAAGTCTACCTGGAGAACTGTCTTGAAGGGCGTCTCCTTTGTACCATCCCCTCCTTTGTCGTCCCCCCTCTTCTCTGACGTGTAGATGTCTCCTGAAATAACAATCCCAAAACGTACGGTTTTTGTCAGTGATTGCGTCAGCACTATACACCCCACGCCCTGCGTCACCCAGGCCTTACACCCCTTCAGCTGACAAGTACGCTGTGATATAACTGAAATACAGTTAAAAGCGGCGTTAAACCAAACTCAATTTAAATCAGTAGTTTCGTTTTGTTGGATTTAACGTCGCAATTCCAGTTGTATGACGCCAGTCTGCAATAATCGAGTCTTAATCAGACAATCCAGTGATTGACATCATGCGCATCGATCTCCACAAGTCGGATACGATGGTTTGCATCAACCAAGTTAGCCTGACCACCCGATCCCGCAATATCACCGAGTAAATCCTGAGAATGTTGATGTGAAGTTGTGTGGTTTTACTCACCGGTGCTCATGGTCGTGTCGACTCGCCTGAAGTTGACTGCAAAACAGCCGTCCCACTCACACGTCGTCTAGTTTTAATATTACCGATTGCATCAGACAAGCCTGTGCAGTTAACAGTTCACGGGAAAGGCAGTTTCTCTTAGTTGAGAGCGACACTGTGTTATTCAGGAACCTGAGCTATAAATAGCAACGCGACACGGTTTCCATGACATGACATTATGTTTTTATCGTTGCACAGTCGGATACGGCCTTGTCCTCAGTCTCGCATGGGGCTATGGCAAGCCTTTGCATGTATTACCCATTTATTTACATCAATTTTTTACGTTTTTACGTTATGATGTCAGTGATGTTTTATTAATGTTATTAATTCTTTACTAATTTTATTTTAATAAATTATATGAAATTTAGAATGGTTTTCGTCATGGTAAATACAGAAATTGTATATACAGAAAATATTGTTTATTTTATTATAATTGCATAATGTATTCTATATCGCATATATAGTCAAATAAAAGCAATCGGTTGTGTGTAATAATGACAAACCATATTATATTTCTTGGGTAGTACCTGCGTTGTCAGACAAGGATGCGGATTAAGCCTGATACATTTTCACACTTTTAGTAACGAATAAGTACTGCATTTATATACTAATAAATATTTTCAAGATGCATTTTGTATCTGAAAAAATGCAAAATATGATTGAATTGTTATGAATGGATATGGAATTTAATACAGATTAAACTAACATAACAGTTTTTAGAAATGAATATCTTTCAGTTTGAGGTTGTGAATACTGTACAAGCATGGGATTGATGGTGACAATCAAGATTACTTGGACAAGTGTCTGTTATATAAAATATCTGAACAAACTGTAAAGGAAAAATAAGTAATAAAGAAATTTGACATTCCCCAAGTTGCATTAAGTACCTTGATAGAAGAGGACTATTTGACCAGAGAGATAGTTTTGAAAAAGTGCACAGTATTTATTTTTATTAGGCGTTGTATGTCGATTCCCCAATACTGTCGCTTTTGATATCGACCTTATAAGTATATTTTGTAAGACTTATTAAATATTGGATAGGATAAATTAGATTAAGTTTAAGAAAATACCCAAACCAGTGTTATTTAAAGCTGAAATCTTCATCAATCAATCTTTATTGTATGAAAGGCGATTGGCCCATATACACACACAGATAAACAATATCATTTACAGCTGTACAGCGCATTATATAATTATTGGATAACTAATATGATGCTTGACATGTAATAGAGGTATTGTAATAACAGTGGTAATAACCACAGTGGCAGAAGTAGTAGTATAAAATACAAAAGGAATACAAAAGGAATGGAATGGAAATATGAAGTTTTACGTCGCAAAGGCTTTCAGCCATAGCACGACGTTCAATACAAAAGGATCTATCAGTAATATACCCATCATGTCAAGACAATTTGACAATTTAAATGTATATGCATTTCTAGTAGAAACAAACAAACAAAATGAAATGTAGAATCTCCTGATCTAGATGCGAAAGTTTCAAAACAACTAATTATTTCTGGACATATCCGGTTTACTAAGTAATTTACTACGCACTCGTAGACTTTGATAGATGCATTGTAATATCTTAGTTAAATTTGACTAGGGATACCATTAAAGGATGATATTTTGTTCATGGAATAGTGGTTCGTAGTGATATCAGGAATATATTTCAATCTTAGGTTGTCGTAAATTGGACATATAAACAAAAAGCGTAATTCGTTTTCAATATGGTTTTCGCAGAATGGACAAAAACGCACATCCTTGGGAATAGAGGAGAAGCGACCCCTGTTGCACATCAAATCATTTAACCTTAGCCTAAGTTTAATAAATGTGTCTCTAATTTTTCTGTCTGTTATAGTGTACAGGTAAACCTCTGGTGTTAGACAATATTTAAAGGTTTTATAGAAGTCGTAAGGTGCACTGTTATCTAGTGACGACCTCCAGTTTTGAGTAAACATATCAGTTGCTACCTGTCTGGGCTGATATCCTTCGCAATCCTGGTGTTTGTCGTAGTTGTGGAGGTGGTCGTGGTTATTATTTCACGTAAGTGACGTAGCCGTATGAATCTGTCCTGTGCTCTGGTAGTGATACGTAGTCGACCGGGCCGGATCTGTTGTCCCGTGTGTCTTATAACTGTTCCACAGTTTTGTAATGGTGCTTGGTGCTACGTGGAAAAATCTGGCTACAGCTGAAGATGATTCTCCTATTTGCAGTCGGCCAGTGGTGTTGTTGCGTTGGTCTTTAATCGTGGCATGTTTTCGCTGTTCACTTGCTGTAAGATTGTGAAGGAATACTAATGAAAACCCAACGCTATTATAGCCCAACACGTGATGTAGCACGTCGATTCAGCGCGGTTGTGATTTCGCGATTTTTCCATCGTTTCACCATATTTCTGCAGTACCTCATTCTACCAAAACAAATCAATCCCAATCCATGCAGAAATGACCAATTCATTGTTGGTATTAATTTTGTACGCATGTCGATAACACTCTGTCAGATAGTTACGATTATATTTTACTTTTCCGTTGTTTTTTGTTGTTTTTATTTATTTCCAGAGTATACATATCTGGCTAAATTAAAGTCTTGACATTCTTGGAGAAACATATTTACATTTCCAACTGACTGACATAGCCATATAAAACCAAAACGATTAGAAAATAAAATATGTCTTATATGCGATGTCCATGTTTAATTGCCAATGTTATCTATATGTGAAAGCATGTAATAAGCTAATTTTATACACATGAAGAATTTTAAACCTGTATTTTAAACATCTAATCTGAGAGTAAATATATAATGGGTATCTACCACATTCACCATAAAGCATACACTTTGATGTTGTTGTCTTGTTATTATTTTATAAAATATAGACATACATTTAACTTACTTCCCATAATACATGATTATGAATTGACTGGGCCCAGGAGGAGTCTTTCTGAGGAACTGTGAAAGAATAGACATGCAATTGTTTCTTAACGTGTTGCATTTACCTGGTTATAAACAATTTCTATTCAATGATCAACAAAACAGATTACAAAATATTTCAGATGACTGTCAGGTTAGTCTGAGTGCGAGCATTTATCTGTCATATGATGTGGCATGTGACTCGACGATGATTTTGATCACGTGGAAAACTTTCCGAGGATTGGTACTCACGTAGCTGATAAATAAGCACTTCAAATTGCGTCTGCATCTCTCTATACGATACCAATTTACATCCCTGATGTCATATTTCACGCTCAAATCAATAATATCAACAGAGGGAGACGGTTTTACAGCTTCAGTAAAATTGATTCAAGGCGCTCAGTTACTACTGCGTTTGGCTGTGAATGTAACAATTGAAGATTAACTTCATTTGTAAACAAGCTGTGATTATTATTCAGACATGAGGTACTCATGTGAAGATCTGCATCTGAAGTATATTGGTCACGCATCTGTTTTGCAAAAATACTACGTTGAGACCTACAAATAATGAGAGAAAAATAATTTATTTAAGTGTCATTATATACGTTATATAAGTTGTGTATATACAAACATTGATATATCATTAAAAAGTAACGTCCAGTCATAAGGCTTATGAGACAGAATAAAACAATGAATGCGTACATACAAAACAGACAAGACGTTTGATGTTACTTTTATATTTTTGTCTGTTAAAAATGAATGTATGAAATTAAGAATTTTTCCCTCTATGGCCTTGTTTTGGAGTTGGTTTTGTTGTTGTAAAAAGCCATTATACCAAGCAATGTCAAAATCTTAACAGAAGTTATATGGTCAATGTGTATTGTTTTGGGTTTGGACTGTTTTTACTCCTTGTTACATAAGTAAAATGTGGTCTAAAGGTTGCCGGTTTGGCGGAAAGCCGCTTTGGACCTTAAAATACATTCACAATTGGAAACTTTTATTAATAGTTGTTTCCATACCTTTGCAGATTGTATGGGTTTAGGGAGATGGGGTGGTATGAAAGAGGCTTATTTGAGGGTTTCCCTGGTTTTAATTGTCTGTCAATTATTGAGAAGTGACGCCTCAGTCAGTAGTGCGTTTACAACCACACTTACAACCACTACTTATCAAGCCATATTTACTACATCTATGTATAATAAATGAGTTGTTATCAATAATATCCCCTGTCACATACATGATTGTACTTATCATGAGAACGCAACACATTGCAATATTAATTTTGAAACAAACTAATTAAAGTCTCACCTCTTTCATATTATAACTTTAGATCTATGCTTAAAGATTCAGAGTAAAAAAAACCCTTTTCCAAGTCAAAATAGGGAATTGCATTGGACATTCCCAATAACAATATAGACATAATCGGGCATTTCTGACAATGCCCTAATATCTACCGGTGTCAATTATTAAATTATGATATATGTCATATCAAGGCTATCCTAAACGTATCAAGTGAAATCACTTTGACGCACTTTTCAAACCTAAACATTTATTTGAAACATTTATGTGTGTAGTGTTTTAGAACCACCGAAAATTGCACGATGCCAGTCTTGCTCATATTTAGCCTTAAGATGTTTCCGAGGGGAAAAGGGGAACAATTTGAGTTTTTCACAAGTCGACAAATGAACATATGTTATTTTGAAACCCAGTTAATTTTACCCCTCTCTGGTGCATGTAATAACATGTTAAATGATTTCAGCGTGTGGAGGACAAGTCGAACAGTTTAAACCAATATCTAACACAGCGTATAAATGCGAAATATAAGTGTATATCTCTCAAGAGCTCTTCAGATAACATCAGTTGACAGTTGTACAAAAAAACGTTTACAAGTTTCTTTGTCTTCACTCATGTTTAATCCCCAATTTTCACAATCATATAAAAAATTAAATACCAGCTGGAGATATTCGCATCCAAAGTACAGCTAATAATGCCCGTTTCGCCTTTTAGTAATATGTCTGAAATGTATGCTCTATGACAAAGAACTGAAAAAGTATACATATTTTTTTATAAAATGAAACTGACCACACCCAAAAAACAATTTCGTGCCCAGCTCGTTACACACACATTTCTTGATGTCATAACTTTCAAATTTCACCGCTAAACACAAATTCTTACAATATGTTTCAGTCTGTAAACTTATGATCGTGTCTATCTGCAGTGAGATTAACACCATCTTCA